AATCATCACATGTTGGCTAGGCATTCATCAGCCCAGTTGAAAAACTTCCTAGACGCTTGTCTTTTTCTCTACCAGTGAGGAAGCCCCTTCAACTTGCGGAAGATAGTGATCACATTCAAGTTCAACACATGTTTTGCATCCAAAATCTTCAACGACATTTTGTGGGGGTTAGACATGTCTACTGCAAGTGACTCGGGGAATACTAGACAGCTTGACCCATCAGCAGCCCCTGAAAATATAGAACTATTTAACTCTGATGATTATAGGGCAAAGATTGAGGGACTACTGAGCAGTAAGTCCTAACTAGGGAGGAGGAGGTGTCTAAATTCATGAAAATGAAGACCACATTTTAGGAAAACCCCAGGAACATTAACTGACCTTGGTCTAGCCTGGATGGGTCCTCCACTAATCGCCAGCTGGGCGAGAGATCCTGGTGTTCAAAGGCAGCTGTCAGCCGCTCATCCAGGGTAGACATATCCTCCTCCCACAAGTTGAAGCGGTCCGACTTGATGGAGGAGGGATTCTGCAAGGCCGTCAAGTCACAGACACTAGAGGCGAGGTAGTGGGCCAGGAAATAGGTGGAATCCTGGATGTAGCTGAAGGCACCTTCTGACAAGAGCTCCACAGCGCCATCTAGGGAACTGTAGCAGGAGAGATGAACTGACTCAAAGCAGTCGTGCCCTGAACAGAAGAACAAAGACAAACCAAAAACAAAAGGGTTACAAATACATTGTACAAATACTGGAACATGTGGACCATTACAGGTCACTTAGTTTACGCTGGTACCCAATTGCATGTCCAAGTGGAGAGAGGCCACTAGGGTAAAGTGGCTAGCCCAAGGACATCTAAGCATATGGCCTGCAGCCAGACTCATTCCCCTGACCATGCCACCGCATTTTATAGGTAACAGTTTACTAAGCCACGCTCTCAGCAAAGTCTGGACAGAAACACCCAAAAGGAGTCCAGAACACAAGCAAAACGGGTCATCTTAAAAATCAACAGTGAGACATTAAATGCACAAATTTCTTGCACACTTTGTACACGTATTTCTAATTTAAGTACCGCACACTGTGCATATACATGTGTCTGTCTAGAGCTGAATTTTATTTTTCACACTTAAATGTGACCACTGCTGTTTTGCCAGAGGAAACTCATTACCTGGGAATAATCACCTTACTCTCATTTATTCAGAGCAAGGCAGTATCAAAAATTTTAAAATATACATACACTGTATATACAATGTACATGCATGCATGTACATTACATGTATTATAAACATTTTCAAATGCAGACAATACTTTAAACAAGGGATAGTTCACTTGCATTTCTAGAATGGGTTTAGTGTGTCAGCAGTTTCATTTTGTATACTGCTTTCATTTTATATTCTCCAAGTGATTTGGCAAATTTCATGGTATAAATTTATGTCCTCATTGTTGACACAGTAGATTGTCTGGCATACTGGTATAGTATCCAGCACCTTACATGCCAAGCACAGATAAGAGTGTAAGGGTACCAGTACATTACACACAAAAGCAACTTTAAACACACATTATAACTGCCAATCAAAAACATAAAACATACAAACAACAGGTTTTGTGTATACATTACATGTACCGGTACCGATACGTAGACATATACATGTAACTTCCTTTGCTTCACTGTTTGTGTACGCGGTATGTTGTAAATGATGAATTTATGGGAGCAATTGCTGTAGTTGCCCCAATTTTTCCTTTTTTCGGGGATGGTAGAGGCCTGGAGTAGTAAAGTTACATGCAGCAGGAAGGCAGTGAAACTGTCCCAGTAGTATATGTAAGGTACATGTAATAAGCCTCCTACACTGTACAAACAGCCTGAGAAAAATCGTAACAGGTTGGTGTGCCCACGGTTCAGTTAGGTTAGGTATTTTTGTTACCAAATATTGTACACTGTACAGTGCAAAACTAAGGTTTATTGCTCATGTGAAGTTTAGTAGTTACATGTACTTAGTACCAAGAACTACAGTGTAATTACACACTTTGGGGGGGGGGTGACAATAAAAATAGCTGTATAAGAAATTGGTACTTCTCAAGAAACAACCCAAAAAGGAAAAAAAAATGAAGAAATAAAACACTTTTGGTTCCCATCAGCCTGGGTCAAGCTGGGTCGACACAACCGATCCTACTTCCTGCTTTTGCAGACAACCAGAACAACATGGCATAAATGCACATCAATTAAGATCAGGAAGAGAAAAGACTAAAGTCTGAAAATCCAGTGTTCCAGAACAACATGTATGTACATGTATGTACAAATAATCTTGAACTTAACATTACCACTGACATTTCCATGGGTTCTTGATAGTTTGAAATTTTAACAAGGCTTGGGCTTGAAATACACTCTGATTATACTACACATTTACACACATCATACATGTACTAGTACATGTATACATGTAAATCAAAGGTACATGTAGGAGACAGCTTGGGCAAAAATCATAAAAATGGGACTGCCGAATAACCCTTCAATATCTCTAAAGAAAGTAAATAATCGTCTCAGTCAATCTGTAAAATATTTCCAACTAGAATGATGTAGTTTTTGAGAAAACAGAAATTTAGTTTTCTTTTTTTACAAAATGACTCCTACAACATGTGTACACACCACACACAAAAAGTGGTGCCTATTAATAGATATGGTATCTGAAACAAAACAAATTTTACATGGCCGACCATCGTGTAAAATTTGTTTTGTTTTGTTTAAATACTGAATACTGTGACTAACATTCTTCCTGTATAAAACTGAAAAGGAATACAAATGTGTAAAAACAAGGTCTTTTCTATCAAGGGGTCCATTTACATGTAAATGGTTTTGGAAAATTATTGGAACAGATTTGTTTCAAGGGCATACATGTACATATACATACACACGTTTCAAACAAATTCATTCATCAAAGTTTCAAGTCACAGCTATCATGTCCAAAAATTCCTCCAAAATTTTTCTTTTTCATTTGCTTACCTGGAATGATAGCTTTCACAGAGCTGTGGTCCAATCTGCGAGCTACAGTGACATGCCTAGACTTGGTTCCCTGAAACACTAAGAAGATCTCTGCATCTTCACTGGGAAGGTCACCCGTCTCAGAGAATACAACCACCATCTGACTGCCACCCTGCCAAGAAAAGATACATGTATGCCAACAAAGAAACAAACTACTAGCGGAAGTTGTGATGAAACAATCAGCTTTCTAAATTCTTACCCATAGATCTACTTGAAGAAAAAGAATGAAAAATGCTGCACATGAAGCTTCTGTGACAGTGTGAATTGATATATGTACAAGTACATGTACACAAAATGGCTTAAAGTTGGGTTTCCATTGGACTTTTTCTTATGCGGCCACGTGGAAACTTACCGCGACATTCCTTCGTGTCAATCTACTGAGCATTCCCACGGGGAGTTTTTTACCATAACGGAATGTTTATTTGCTGTGTTAATAAGACTAGCTGATTACATTGCCTACGCTGAACAAATCATGTTGAAATCGGCAAAATCTGACAAAAATATGACAAAATCCCATGAATTCAGCCAAATCTGCCACAAATAAGATGTACCAGTACACAATGTGTGTACAATGTGTATAAAAGAGACAGAAGTCTGCTTTGTGGTCACACAACAGTCCTTCATATACTAAAGAGTAAGAATTGTTCCCAGAAATTCTTGCAATAGTGGGTCAGTGTACTTGTCTGCAGTATAAGAAATAACTAACCCTCCTCCCTTGATTTCCAACAGTGCAGATGTTATTTGGAAGGTATTTTAATTGTCTGAAAACTTGTGATGAAAATCTTAAAAGGTACCTGTACATGTAGGAGAGGGAAGAAATTACAGCATGTTGGAATGCCAAAATAAAAAGACATAAAACGGTTTTATGTGCACGGGGGAGAGGTTAAGTTACAGGGTTGGTGTTTTTCTTGCTCACTGATTTAGAAGTTGGAAGAAGGTGCGACAAAAGTTCACTTCTGGAGAAAACTGACATCCCACGCATTGAGCGCAATATACATGTACATGTATACACGTTCGTACATTATCTGACTGGGTTGGCTTTTCAGATGCCCTCCATGCTGGAGATGAATTACATGTACCCAGGTTACTTATTAGGTATGAAATGCTATACCAGGATCCCTTCCTTAATCAACCTAGAAGTCAGCACCCCATGGAGTTCAGTTTATCATCCTTGTATTCATAAGCATAATATGCCAACTCCAGCTTGCCAAGCTTGGAGCACAATAAAATATAAACAGCACAAAGATACATGTAAATAGTATTAATCTGCTCAGATTTCTTTGAATGTGATCATAATTATTCTCCCTCACAACTGGTAGAGAGCATTATCAGTTGGCCAATCAAACGCAAAGACTCTGGCTTCAATTAAGCAGCTGCTTCCAACTGGAGAGTGGTGCTGCTAGAAGTGTCCCAGCAGAGAAAGGACTGATAAATTCACTATGAAAAATTAATGCTATTAACCATTTTTAAAGTTAAGTGTCTGTGTGCATGCACCGCTGTGCTGTAGGTACATGTACACATATGCACTAGCTGTGGCGTCATGTGATGAACAGGTCCATGAAATGAAAGTCACATGGTGGGCTACCGGTACTACCCATTCGTTCACATGAATATAATGAGAAACTGTTTTTGTTTACTGTTTATAGTGCACACTTTCTATTATTTACAGCCATTTCTGCACTAAAATTTTTCAGAATAAGGGATATTGTTTCTGATTGTAAATACTCTTACTTTTTAACAAAAACTTCAGTGATTGTTGTGTCTATACCGTACATGACAGTAATGCAGAGAGCAAAGTTTCTCAGTTCTCACTCATATATGGGAAAATTCTGGTGCATAATTTGCACAGAAAACTCCCTAAAATGAAAAATGTTTTCCAATTATACATGTATCAAAGTAACAGGGGCATCATTTGTAAGGAAAAGCATGGGAAATTTTTAATATTTAAAAAGTGCACTCTCCAAACAGAGTAGCCAAAAGGGATGTCAAATAGTTTTCCTTGCTTTTGAGAGAATTCCCACAAATCATCCTCCCAAGTGAAATTCACATCATAAACCCTTCAAGGTGCACATACACTGTATGCACTCTGCAGTCAAGGAATTCTCTCAAAAGTTGAACTCCTGATGTATTGCAAGAAATGGGTAGCTTTGCTGAAAATGGTGGAGCATTACATGTATGTACTGGTATGTATGTTTTTGACAAGCACTACAACTGAGAATTATCAGTGCAATGCCACGAGACGACATATTAGTGACAATTCGCGCAACTTCAGATGTAGAACGAACTGTGAAGGCTCAGACCACAATGACATCACTGAAGTGTGAATTAAGTGCCAATTGGCAATTGCAAGAAAACCCCAAAACCTGGAACACCCTTGAAATTGGCATGTACGGTACACTGACAATTGAATTAAAATCGGACACAAAGGTACTGTACATATACACTGTACAAGTATGAAACCACACATGTATGTTTTCCATCTGTGGCATTGCCCTTTTTAAAGTAAAATTGACATACAATTTTTACTACCGGTACAATTAATTTTTAATTAAGTAATGCTTTTTAGTTCTCAACCTCACATTGAACTAATAACATATAATTTTGTTTTTTTAATTGAAGCCAAAAGCTCATACATGTACATGTAAATGCTGTTAAGTTGATCAACATATGACCTATTATTTGTTACAAAATCCATAAAAAGGAAGTTCTGAATACCAGTAGAACTTTCTGTTGGGTTCCATAGTCCAGAACATGTTTAAAGTTTCACTATATCTTAAATGTCAGAAATGATTTCTGAGGTCAAAATAAATTTCACCTTCCTGGAACCTAAAACAACAAAAATCTATACTGTGGGCCTACCAGTACTTCAATATTTGAGTTCGTTTCCTTTTTGTTGGTGAGTTTACATGTACTTTGCATTGAATGTAGACAGACAGGATACCTAAGCACGTCATGTGCATGTACCGTATGAAGACATATGTATTTCCTTCCATGAATAAAACCAAGCAGTAAGCAAAATGTGTCATTCCCAATAGCCATTTCCTTGTGACTGCAGCTACAGACTTTTAACACAATGTGACTATACTGGCGTACCAAGTACCGTTTTAAAATGTCATGGTCACGTACACGGGGAAATTTAACAAAATACTTTGTGTGTAAGGTGAGCTGAAAGTCAGGAGAATTGAACATAAGCCTCAAGACTTAGTGTCAGAAACCAGACCCTCTACAGAGAGTACTAAAGACAGATTAAATTACTTACATAGATTGGCGACTCTTTGGGTGAGAAAGCCATCTGACAATTGTCCCCTGGGAGAAAAAATAAAGGAAGGCACTTTATTTCTTAATTACATGTGTCAAAAATCAGATTTAAACATGCAATACAATGTAACAGTACTTGGCTGGAAATCAAAGAAAAATCAAATGAAAAGCAAACACTGAAAATTTGGCTTGAGTGAATCAAATCCACTGAAGATACATCTACAAATCGACAACACTCTTAATTCAAAGGGCCCATGTACATGTAGGTACATGTGCCCATACGGTACATGTACAGTAACAGTTCTGTAAATTTCCTCAAACCTACATATACATATAAACTTTTGTGCTTAAATTATTAATCTTATTTTGAATTTTTGTTTTGCCATTTTAAACAGTAAAGGTATTCAATTTTTTCGGGGGGGGGGCCTTAATTTCCATACTACATGTTACATGTACGTGTATAAAAGAAAGCCTAAATGTTGCACTGATTTGAGCACAAAACCTGTTGGTTTGTAACATTTTGCTGTCCTGAACGTCCTTTCTTTGGCAATTTACTGTTGTATACAAACATGGAAGCAACCCTTTCTCAGAAACGTTTTCAATTCAGTGAGCAGGGTTTGGGTTCTGAATTCAACAGATAAAGGCACAAAGTGAACAGCGTCTTCCCTGCATGAAATCATAGCAACAGTGCCCTCGATTGTCCAGGTAAGCTTGACCAATGTTAAATCCTTAAAACTGCACTTTCAACAAGCTGAGACCCAAAGAACATCAAACCTATTCATACATTGAAGAAGAGCATACTGGACACAGTATCAAACTAAAAAGACAATATTTCCATCGTGAAACAATAAGGAGGCAACTTTTGAGACCACGTGCCCCGATCTGTAAAGGCCTACTCTTGGGGGAGGGCCAAATGGCGTAAAAACTGGGAGCTACTACATGTAGTGCTGGTACATGTACATGATTTTTGCTGAAAGCTGCAAATATTTTGTGACAGCAATCACTTGTTGCAAACAAGAGGCCTGTCTCTGCCCAAGGCCATTTTCCAATACTCAACATGGCTCTGTCTCAGGTTTCAACTGTTTTTTTTACTACCTGACGTTGAAGCTGTAAGTGCACTAATTAGTCTAATAGTGCCACAAAACATCAAATAAGATGCAAGAGAGCCAAAACTTACAGTAATCCAATTTGATTTAAACACTTCAGGCCCACTATCGGGGATTGGTTTTGGGAATGAAGCCTCAGACGGAGACGAAGTTGAGTAATGGAAAACAGCCCAAGTTCAGTCAGTGTCCATGAGTCAATTACTTGTCAATTCTGCTGGGTATCTGGGAACTACTGGTATTTTGTGTATCTAGACCACAAGGCAAAATAGACCAGTGGTTGACGAAAAGTACATGTAGCTGATCAAACGTACATTAGCCTATGATTTCACAAATCTTTTTCATTTCTAAAGTAAGTTTGATGGTTGCAGCAATATTCATTTTTCCAAAACTACGGGTAGCATCAGGTCACAAGAAAATACAGGCAAACATAAAAAAAATTGGACTGTGGTATGCATTATGCATATCCTTCAAAACCTCTTCAAAGTATCTTATTTACCTTAACACAAACCTAATATAACTACAATATGCAACCTCTGGAAGGACACTCGACATGTACATGTACTGGTATCGTGATGTTCCTGCCACACACTCCTGCCCGAGTGTGTCATGTTAGTGAAAGATGAGTACATGTACTGCAACTAAGTACTACCACCAGGCGCCAGCATGCCCTGGGAAACATTAAGACTCATTCTCCATTCTCAGTGATTTTTAAAATTGATGGGACAGGGAAAAATGACATGACAGATAAGGGTGAAGATATGCACACATGTACATGTACATGTACGTACATGAGGCTGCACATGTACATAAAGCATTAATTAATGAGTTGCAATGTACATGTACGTACATGTATTTAAAGTACATGTACTTTGAGCCAACATAACTATAATTGATATTGGCACTTCCCTTAGGTACCCAACCAAAATGCAAAAAACAGTTTGAGTTTCAAATTCATTACCTCAGACCTCTGTAGAGAATACATTCACCTGTCTGATTACAGATGAAAGTACTCTGCTAAATATTACAAAAGGTCAAACAGTTTTGTCGAAATGGTGGCACTGGCAGCAAAAAATGCTTTCAGATTTTTTTAAAAACTGCATGTTCCACAGGTATTGAACTGCTTTGAAAAGGGTTACTTTTCAGGAAATCCTGAAAAAGTACAACCAGGTAACTTTGTTCACCAACTTTCAATTGCATTTGAATGGGTTATTTGTAACAGTAGCAGAGCGTGAACATGGAAGCTTGTTGCCAAATTTGGTCCCATAGTGAGACGGGTAGACATTCAAGGATCTATCCTACCTGTACATGTACATGCTCGTACATACTGTATGTGGTACAAAGGGTTGAAGCCACTGCAGGATCATGTAACCAACAAATGTCAAATTCTAGGACCTAGTTCCCTGTGGTGCGTACAAGTGTCAAATAACATAACGGTACATGTACATTGTACACTATACTAAGTTTTCATGTGACCTCATGCATTGAACAGTACATTAGTAGCAGGTACATACCGCTACGTGTACATGTACATGTAGAATTGCAGGGTTCAAAAGTGCATTATGGAACAACCTACATGTACATGTACAGTACATGTACTGGTAGATCATGTATATGTATACATATTTTTAGGGCTTACATGTAGCTGTACATGTACAATGTACATGTACACATGTACCGCTACATGTAGGGCCTATGCACATGTCTGAAGATGGGTGTTGTGTAAACTTGTACACATGCTGGTTTATGAGTACAGTATTTGTATGGCACAAACGGCCTGGAATGTACAAGACTGGTGCCAACTTGCATCATTGCAATATGGATTAATTTCCATGCACAAACTACAGGTGGACCTTTATCCTTTTTCCTATTCTAAATGCAATACTTATGTGGGAAGTGCATAAATTGCAAAAGGAAACTTTACGAATTATGTGCATTAAATAATTGTCATGAGTCACTGTTAGGTATTCCTCATGTTACTGTGGTTGTATGATTACACATTGAAGACTGGGTCAAAACTCTCATAAGGTTTACAATGTGCATCAACATTATCCCCGATGAAAATTTGTTTTCACCCACTAGCAATCTTCTCTATGAAAATTCAGGAGAGCAAATAGCAAATTCCATACATGTGTATAGGGCCTACATACCGGTATATCCACACAAATACATGTACCGGTACATGTACATGTATACAGTACATGTACATGTACATGTACATCACTCCCTATGGCAAGTTTCAGTCACCATAACAGCACACTTCTGAACTTGGCAAATACAATGGGCAATGTCCTGGTAATGTTTCTCAGTCTGAAGTCAGGTATTACATGTAGATGTATTACATGTAGATGTACATGAACATGTACGCACAAAAGAATCAGAGAAACACTCATCTGTTGACCCAGATGTAGACAATTCTTATCACCTACACTGTATCTATATTACCCATTGTGCTACTGTAGCTAGCCACATCATTCTACTGGTCTTAGTGTGGATGGAAACTCCCCTGCTATGGTGACCCAATTCTGACCTGTTGCTATGGGAACCACGTGACAGCAATAGGGGAAGGTTATATTATATTGCAAAATCAGGGCTTTGCTGGTGACTCCACCTACCACTGCCAGTACCATGGAAAAACTACATGTACATGTGCCAGTGCTTCAGGTACCTTACATGTAGCTGGGGGAAAATGCCTTCACAGAAATTGGACAGGTATAACAATGTACATGTACATAAATGTAGGTCTACATGTACATCATGTACATTGTGCCATAAATATACCGGTGGAGGCTGTATACATACTGGCACATGTATGTATCCTTGTAAGTGTATCAGAGAAGATGGACAAGCCATAAAATTACATCTGCATGTGCGTAAATTTCTTAAAAAGTGTTAAAACTGAAATGTACAAGTACCAGTAAACAATTCACTTCTCCGACTTTCCCATAAACTGGGAGCTTGTTTTCAACAAACCAAAAAGACTAAAACACTGAATATTTCAAAGTTCGAAGGGCAAAGATCATGTCCTTTCTCATTTACCGGAATATTTGGCCAAGGGAAACCAGTTTAAGTCTGGAGTGAGGCAAAGAACATGGTACCAAAACCCACAATGATACCTGTAGTTCCTGACTGAAATATCATCAGGGAAGCTCACCCTGTACATGATGTAACATACCGGTAACCTAAGTACATGTGTTAGAGCCTTGCAGGGAACTGGTTAATGTACATGTGCGTACATATAAATACATATGTACATGTATGTACATGTAAATGATGTGATGCCTGACCATACATCTAATGGGCACAGGACACAGACTGTGCAGTCATGACTGGGGTATAGTTGGTGTTTTAAGCAAACAGGTGCAATGTGGTACAATACACGTACATGTACTGGTATTTTCATACATTTCCCCAACTGTCTCTTTAACCCTAACTGCCCAAGGGTTGCAGGACCTAACCTTCCCCATTCACACAAAGTTAAACACCCCTATGGGACTTTGTGCACAGAGGCTGTTGGACTTAGTTTTTCTGAGGTATGCCAAACGCAATGCAAAAGCCAGCTGTCTGGGCCTACCAGACCTATCCCCACAGAACTTAACACTTTACTACTGTTTAATTCTGTGTGGTTGGGGAAGGTTAGGGTTAAGCCCCTTTCACACGAGGTCAAAAACTCACAAAGCTTGATATGTTCCTCATGCTTGAGAAATCTTTCAAAAGAGCCACCAAGTGAGAGCACACCGATGCTTGAGTATGACCAGCATTTTTGGTGATTTTTTCTCAATTTTCTCTGGAGGTACCAAGGTATCCATGACGACATTCGTGTGAAAGGATAGGTATACTGTCTGCTGCACCATAGTCTACGCGATAACCTAGACAATGCACCAGTGTGGAGATCATGGCATGCAATCATGGTATCTGTTGATCACCGTGGCAGTTCACAAACTC